TTCATGTTCAAGGAACGACAAAAACACATGAAATTAGCCATTCGTTAAACGAAAATCACAGTTATTTTTGTTTCTTTTTCAAAATTGAAAAATTGCAAATTGAAACGTTTAGAAATTGAAAATCTAAAAATAAAAATCGAGAAACCGAAAAATCAGAAAATTAAAAAAATTGTAACACTGAAATATCCAAAAATTAAAAATTGAAGGACCGAAAAATTGTAAAATTCAATCCAAAAATTGACAATTTAATAATCGAAAATTGTAAAACTGAAAAAAAAAATTGAGGAACTCAAAAATCACTGAAACACCGAAAAATTAAAATTAAAAATCGAAAAGTGAACATATTTAGAATTTAGAATCGAAAAGTGTAAGTGGAAAATAAAAAAAATCGAGAAATACAAAAAATATAAAGCAAACTAGAAACTGAAAAATCCGCAAATTTTAAAAATTAAAAATTGAGACATTGATGAAACTTAGAAAAATTGCAAAATTGAAAAATCGAAAAATACAAATATTTAGAAATTGAAAAATAAAAAAATTGCTAAACTATCAAACTGAAAAATTAAAAATGAACAACTGAAACATCGTAAACATAAAAATTTAAGAATTGGAAGAAATCAAATACATATCTGAAAAATCGAAAAATAAAAATATTTAGAAATCGAATAATTGAAAAATGAAATGGAAAAATTCAAAAATTGAAAAATCGGAAAATGAGAAAAATTGTAACAATGATTTATTAACGGATTCACCATTACACAACATGTAAGTAATTACATTTTCAGTGCTGTACGCAAACCGAAAAACAACAATCGAGAAACTGAAAAATCAGAAAATTTGAAAACTAAAAAAAAGAAAAATCGAAACTGACGTGATGACACCACCTCAAAAATTTGTATGGTAAATGTTATTTAAATTTTATAAAACAACATATTCCTACATGTGTAATTTATTAATCTTTTTGATTTTTTACTGCAGACATCCAGATTTTCGGAAAAAAATTAAAATTATAGAACACTTTACATTCAGAGGCGACGCAAGTTCTAACCCTAGACCAATTTTTTACACTCATTAGTTTACATTCGGTTTCAATTACCTGTCAAATTCCATTTCGTATCAAACTTGAACCTGTTTGTTTTCATAGTGTTTCAAGTTCACTGTTATTTACCTCGAATAAATAAATGCGAATTCCCGAAGTTATTTGTGATACAAAACGACTAGTCAAAATAAAAAAAATATATATAAAACTGGCGAATAGAAATTCCCTATTAGGGACATAATAATAATTCATTGTAAGCTGCATTATCAACTTAATTTTCCGGAAATTTTAACTGTACTCTTAGATCATTGGATTATAAAATCTCTCTATTCATCCCCTCCAAAGTTAATGACGTCGTTCTCAAAATAACGCAAACCTCGGAAGGAATAAAATCGTGGTATCTGTTTCGTTAATCTAATAAAGACGTGATTCATCTTGCCATTGTGACATTAACCAATTATCCCAATTAACACGCGACTTCCAAATCCAAACGCTTCCATTGTTTGCTTTCACCTTGTAGATGAATTAATCTCGAAATTGCCAGAACACGATCGGAAAAATCAGCTACGAAATAAAAAATCGCCTTGAAAGTGATCCATCTATCACCTTAATTCTGACTAACGGGTGTCTATTTATCATACACTCCATGTCGTCGAAATTGTCGTACATTTTTCCAAAGTACAAGTTTTGCGCAATAATTTTTAATTAGTTTAGTTCCAAACATTCGGTTCTAATTATAAAACGTAGCGGCATTCCTTGCCACTGCCAACAAAGGATTAATTATTCAATGCGATGAACAATTCAATATTATCTCAATCTGATGAAATTATCGGATTCGCTGTCATTAAACTGTTTACGTTTGAGATAAGAGAAAACTTCAAAGGAAGTGATGTTTATTGAAATTATCATAAAGCGTGTTCGCAAAGGTTGCTATAATCACATTTTTCGTGAACATGACTTTTCGCCAATTTAAACGTCAAGTGATGCCCTTAATTTAAATTTGTAGCGAAAAATTTGTTTGACTTGCAGCTGTGGAATGGCTACTAGTTACTAGTTGAGTACCTTGAAGGTCACAGTGGTGGAATTTTCTCTAATCGGTGCTTTTACAAGAAGTAAATTGTTAGTGTGGGTCAATAGGCAAACAATTTAGAGCTATAATTAGTTTTAAATTAGTGTACAGATCTGATATTTACCCGGTTTTAAACCCGCGCTATTTTATGTTCTCATTATCGAAATTTTTCTCGAAAAATACGCCACTGACCTGAAAAATCGCGAATATTTATTAAGTTATGATGGAATTATTTCTGTAAACCGTGTTTTTCGCATTTTGGCAGCTGTGCCAAGTGCAGAGGTTTGGAGAAATTATTGATTGATAATAATTATTTTTTTTTGTTTTATGGATGTGTGCATAAAGTAACTGTGGAACGGTTATGAATTCTATTATTTTTTTAAGTGAAGGATGCCTGTCTGGAACGTGTTTCCGCAGTTAAATAAAAGTCGTGAATATTGAAAATGTTTATAGACCTTGAAATTTGTTACGTGAAACTGCATGTTGGATTTAGATGATGTTTATTTTGAAATCGAGTCAGAAATTGCTATATTTATGATTTTGGGAGCAGGAGACATGTAGTAAATAATTTTGTTGATTGTGTGTCACACCATAGTATTTTCGTCAAACTGTCGACGACTACCACGATTTGGGAATTTTCTGAAAATGATAATCTGGGAACTACCGAACCGCTTGCTTTGAAGCTAAAAACCAAAAACCGCTTTCCGAGAGATTTTTTCAATGAATATTTTTAACGTTTTGTAATTCCTAAATTGATGATCTCTATATACTGGCTGAGGTAAACTGTAAAATTTAACGGTTCAGAATTATTTTTAGAACAATCCATAAAGTCGTAAAGTTAAAAATAGCTAAAGATTATTAAAACCACATACAAAAAATACTCACTCCGGTATTTCAAGCGCGATTAATTTTTATTTAATAATATTAAAATATCACATATTATTAAATTAAAGTGACGTCATTAGTTTTTTGGAAGGTATGAATTTTTATCTAGAAAAAGTGAGATGTTTTGTTTTAGATTCTTCTATTTTGGAATTTTTATTTTCAATTTTTCTATTTTTAACTTTTCATTTTCTCAATTCAAATTTTTTCAATTTTTCAACCAAAATAACAAGTTTATTCAGACTGAAGTTTTAAGAAATCGAAAAATTGGAAAATTGAAAAACGAAACACTGAAAAACAGAAACATTGAAAAATTGACAGATCTGGAATTGATTTTTCAATTTTTATATTGTAGTTTTTCGATTTTTCTACATAAAGAATAAATTTATTCAAAATGAAATTTTGAAAAATCGAGAAGTCGAAAGCCGGAAAATCAAAATCTAAATCAAAATTACTAAACTGTAAAATTGAAAGATTGGTAAATTGAAGAAAAAACGAAAAATGTAATATTGTAATATCGAAAAATCGAGAAATTGAAAAATTTTAAAAATACCTACAAATTAAAATATCGAAAAATTGAAAATACGGAAAATTGAAAACTTTTTATTTTGCAATTTTTCGATTTTTAATTTTTCAAATTCTCGATTTTTAATGTTTGAGTTTTTCAACAAAAAAAAAACAAAAAATTAGAAAAGTCGAAAAATAAAAAAATCAAAATCGAAAAATTAAAAATCCATAAATTAACAAAACAAGATACCAAAATCTAGAAATAGAAAAATAAAGAGAAATTGAAAAATCGAAAGTCGAAAAAAAAATGTAATATTGAAACATCGAAAAATTACAAAATTATAAAATTGAAAAATTAAAAAATCTGAAGAAAATAAAGTTTGAAAAATTGAGTAACTGGAAAAACGAAACACTCGAAAATTATAAAACTTGTAAAAAATAAAATTGAAAATCCGAAAAATTGCAAATCAAAAAATTGAGAAACTGAAAAATCGGAGAATTGAAAAAATGAAATATTGCAACATTGAAACACCGAAATCTGAAGTTATTAAAAATCTAGAAATTGAAAAACTTAAAATCCTAAATTTCCTACATAGAAAAATTGAATCTTCGAAAAAACACAAAATTGAAAAATCGAAAAAAATGTCCGAACAATTTTTAAATTGTAAAATTGCGTAATCAAATTGAAAAACAATTGAAATATCGAAAAATAAAAAATCTACAAATTGAAAAATGACAGAGATCGTTGTAGACGTCATTGTTTTTATAGTTATAGGTAATTTTAAGAAAAGAATAAAAATGAGAAGTGGTATCATGCTGCTCTGTGTAAATACGGCACGAAAAAAGGATCACCACTAGGCTGAAATTCCTAGTCAGTTTATTTTTTACCAACTCGAATCCATTTATTAATTTTGATATTGAAATCTAGTTATTATGAGATACCCACAAAAACAAAATAAACACAATCATAAAACAAAAATTTATCGATGTAATTAGTATTTATTGGATGCCTCGGAGAATACGTCATATGCAATAAGCTGTTAAATAAAACATTTAACAATAATTTATTTCTCCAGCAAATGGCTTTATTTTTAAATTCTTTTAAAAATGCGGTGACGGATTTACGAAAATCAGAATGATGTAGGTACGATGATTTATAACCACCCTGTGTATGTTAAACGAAAACTTTGTAGAAAAGATGCGCTCACAAAGAAAAAGAAAATGAAGAACAGTGCAGACGTAATTGTCAAATTTTGAAAACGTAGTATGTCAAAATTGACACTTCTCTGTAAATCGATTTATTCTACAATTAAATTGAATCAATACGTGTGGGTATATTTTCGAAAAATGGGCAATACAGGTAATGTTGTAAAAAATGGTAGCGTATGTCCCAAATCCAACCAATTTACAACCAGATTTGATCACACTACCCTCAGGTACTTGTTTGGTCGCTTCAAAATCAATTTTAAACCGACTCGAACCTAATACTTTGTTTTTTTTCAGAATATTCGTCAACCGTAGTTTACATTTAGAAAATATCAAATTTTATGGCTTCGATATGGACTATACTCTTGCCGGTTAGTATTCCCGTCCTTCTCTTCCGCATTACTAATCGGTGTCTCTTCCAGAATACAAATCTCCCGAATACGAGATTCTAGGTTTCGATTTAGTCAAAGAACGCATGGTTTCAATAGGGTACCCCAACGAAATTCTAGAATTTGAATACGACCCGACTTTTGCCGTCAGGTAAGTACCGCACACCCACAAACCCAATTACATGGGTAATTTCGTTCCAGAGGCCTGTGGTTCGACGCCCTTTATGGCAACCTATTGAAAGTGGACGCATATGGCAACATTCTCGTGTGTGTACATGGCTTCGAATTCGTTAAACAGTGAGTGCGCTTTCCTCGCACAGTTATGGCATTGATCGACTTTTATTTTTAGTTCTCAAGTATACGAATTGTATCCAAACAAATTCCTTCCATTAGACGAATCCAGAGTTTATGTGTTAAACACCCTTTTTAATTTGCCCGAAACTTATTTATTAGCATGTTTAGTGGATTTCTTCACGAATTCTCCGCAGTACACCAAAACGCAAACCGGGGTCAAATTCGGCGATCTTTTCATGAGTTTCAAATCGATTTTCCAGGTAGGTGACACTGAGGGTGAAATTATACTAATCGGGGTTTTTTAAGGACGTCCGGAACGCGGTCGACTGGGTCCATTTACAGGGCGACCTGAAGAAAAAAACGATCGAAAATTTGGAAAAGTACGTGAAGAAGGACGAACGTCTTCCAATGTTTTTGGCAAGGTTGCGGGAAAGCGGGGCGAAGACCTTTTTGTTAACTAACAGCGATTATAATTTTACAGACAAGATCATGACGTATTTGTTTGATTTTCCGCACGGACCCAAAGTAAGTGGGGAAGTTATTGAGCCGAGGATTCATTCACTAAATTTTTTTAGCCAGGTGACGTCCACCGGGATTGGAAGACCTACTTCGACACGATCGTCGTAGACTCGCGCAAGCCTCTCTTTTTCGGCGAAGGCACGATCCTCAGACAAGTCGATACAGCAACCGGTGCACTGAGAGTGGGGGTCCACACTGGACCCTTCTTAAAGGAACAAGTTTATTCAGGGGGTTCTTGCGACGTTTTCACCAAACTCATAGGAGCCAAAGGCAAGGACGTGTTATATGTGGGTGACCACATCTTCGGTGACATTCTCAAAAGCAAGAAAATCAGGGGGTGGAGGACGTTCCTTATAGTGCCCGAGCTAGTGCGAGAGCTGCACGTGTGGACCGACAAGTGCCAGTTCTTCGACGAACTCCAAATGCTCGACATCAAACTAGGCGAAATGTACAAGTACGTGTTGCCTGCGTTGTTGTTCAAACGCGTCGTAATCACTCTTTCTAGGAATCTAGACAGCAGTACGAAGGAAAAGCCGGACATTTCGAAACTTAGAGCGGCCATTCGTGACGTCACTCACAAGATGGACATGTCGTACGGAATGATGGGGAGTCTGTTTCGGTCGGGGTCACGACAGACATTTTTCTCGTCACAGGTAACTAAAATGGCGCAGTCGCTAGTATTTTTATTTTTTCGTTACAGGTGGTGAGATACGCGGATTTGTATGCTGCTACCCATTTAAACCTTCTTTATTACCCATTTTCGTACATGTTTCGAGCCCCTGCTATGCTCCTTCCTCACGAATCGACAGTGGCGCATGAGCAGAGGTTTGTTTTGGAAGCTATTGATAATCAAGCGTGCCCTGAGAAAGAAGTGAGGAAGCCCCCAAGAGTTCTGGAACGATCACACAGCCAAATTCCGCACGTGCGACCAGAAACCCCCTTAAGTGTGACTCATAACCACGACGAAGACTTCTCGGAAGATGAAAGCGACGAGAAGAATTCCTTCCGGAATGGGGAAAAGAGGGAATAATTGTTGTTAAAGTAGGTTAGGTTGTTTGTTTTTAACGCACACTCAATCCTAATAAGAGTAAAACGCATTTTATAGACTTTTAACAAGTAGCGCAAAATTGCTCATTTTTTATTGTTACCACGTTTTGTAATGTAGATTTTATATTAAATAGTTACAAGTTGCAAATACTCCAATTTTTGTATTAAGCAATAGTAAATTATTTATCGTTTTTGTGTTAATTTATTGTACTCTAACCTTCAATAAATTCCATGTTTCAATTACAGTAGTAAGTCTTGTAAGTAATCCTCCATTTCTTCGTCCCGTGATTTCGTTTCTACAGGTTTGTGATTGTTCCAAGGTGATTCAATTGATTCGAAAGAATCTGCAGCTGTAGTCGTTTCCTCTTTGTCAGACTTGCTGTCTTGACTGGTCTCTGCCTGTGGTGACCCCTTCTCTTTTTCCTTGTCTCTTTTATGCTTGCTTTTGTACTTCCTTCTATCCAGTCGCTTCACTTCCCTCTTCTTACTACGATAATTCAACTTTCTGGAACACTCAGGGCACAGCCCTATCACCCAATGAAATACCCCCAACCACCTTCATACTCACGTATTTTCACCAACGCATTCTTCTTCCCCCCTTGTTCAACATAAGCAAAATTCACCTCCCAAGTTCTCAATCCTTCTTTCTCCCCACACTTCTTATTCCCACAAATAAATTGTCCTTTCCCCACAATAACTTCCTTTTCGATCCTCCAACGGAGCGCTATCTTTCGACAATTCACTGTTAAATTTACAAAAAGGCTAACAACGCGTAATTTACCTTGTTGTCTTTGTACAAGCTGAGGTCTGCGATACAGTATTCTTTAAACAATTTGTCGTAGTATTTCTTCGCGAATTGGGCCTCCCAAGTGTCTGGGGCCGTGTCGTCCCATAGAAATCTGTGGTTCTGGCGAAGGACGTCGTGGTCTGTTCGATCCTTGGAGGAGTCTCTGTGGAGCAGGGTAGTGTCACCGGGCTGTTTTAGGACGTATTCGTTGATTAAGGCCTTGTGGATGTCGTAAGGGTTCATGTAACGCATTTGTGAACGGAAAGAAGTCATGTTTCTATGTAAAATTAGTTTTCACAACATAACCTAGAATATTTGTGGATTGTTGACATTGACATGTGTGTATCCGTTTGACAGTTGAAATTGCGGTAGTGGTTAGAATCCCGTTCACGGTATTATTTACGTGTTTTTGTCATTTGAAAGTTAAATTGGTTAAATGTACGCAAATAGGAGGATTCAGTATGGAACAGCCATTAATTGCACTCTAGCAGTTGCATTTTTTATGGAGTAAAATTTGGAAAAAAAAGATTGTAAGAACTTTCGCAAAATAGTGTCTCATAAATCATAATAATTGAACCAAGACCTATAAGGTTATATGGCCATCATAAAAGTAGTTGACCGCAAATAAATACCCCCTTTGTGTGGTTCGCACTAAGCTTACCGGTTGGCAATAAATCATCTTCTAAACATTTCTTGCTCATATTTAACAGGGCCGGCTTTCAAAGCGAGTGGTTATTTCGGAACCCTCAGCGGCTGCAGGTAGTAAGGAAATGGTGGAGTGGTGGATTTTCATATTTAGTGAAAGCCGCCCCTGAACGAAACCACAAGAGCCGGTCGAGCTCCAGTGGACACGTTATTTACGACCCTAAAACCTTTTCTATTGTAAACAACTTAACTTCGACACAATGGGATGATTTTATGATGACCATATAACCTTATAACTCTTGGTTCACTATATTTAACTGAAAGCACTATTTATTTTTGTTATTTTATTAATAGTTTCATTTATTACACTCTTGAGAAATTCAGACGAGTACGAATAATAACTTCATTGTAATTATAACGAATTATTATTTAGGAATGATAGTGGCATGTCCTTAAAAATAAATACGCCTTTATTCTGATATTTGTAGTTATTTCATGTACCGAGTGCAAAATTCCGTATAATGAGGTAATCATTCCCACCATTAATTTGTTGACGTCATTTCAAAGAATTCTGTCTTTATTAAAATTTATTTCCCAAAGTGCCTATTTTGTTTTTTTTTTTGAGATTGTTTAGCATTGCAAAGTTAAATGAACGTTACAGAAACATTTGTAATGATAATGAAGCAGCCATTATATAGAGAGATGCAAAAATAGTTCAAGGACGCGGTTATAACTCCCACTCCTCATTATCATTGCCACTCCAGTGTCGGGCGGCGAAATGCAAGATTTAACATACATATCAGTAGTTTATTGCTTTTATTAAATATATATAATAATTAATAACCATCGGCTCCACGTAGCAATACACGGATGAGACGTAGATTATTTTATAATAGCTGCAACGGCAAAATGCGATGCCTGCTATCCCAATCACCAATATTAAAATGACCGAACATGCACCGACGGGCGAAGCGAAGCAATAACAGCGGACGCTGCTGACGGAAAGTGGTGGGAGGCGCCTGGCCTAAAACTGCATCTCCTTAGCCATTAGTCACAGTTTAACAGTTATATATTCTTTAAGGAGTAAAATTTTGGAAAAAAAAGATAAAGTAGGGAAAACGTCGCATATGTGTAAGTTATTTCTAAAGTGTACGGGTGTAATGTTAATTTTGCTTTATAATGTTTAACGGGTATTTATTTATTCTGAAATTTTCGTCAAAATCAACCGACAAAAATAAAATTCATGTAGATATATTTTATGTTAGAGTTGGGTAGCTGCAAGGTTATGAGTGACAATGATTCCAGCACCTATATAAGGAGCTTTAGACTGGGTATTTTTCAAAAAGTGTTGATCGCCGTCAAAATGAAAGTCATCGTTATTGTGTACGCAGCGCTAGTGGGAAGCCTGTTGGTAAGTAGTTTTAAAACACACCATAATAGAAAAAAGTATGCACAATTTTTTAATACGAATTTGTTAAAAAAAAAAGAACTGTCCAAAAATAGTGTCTCATAGTATGTTAATTAAGTGAAGGCACTATTTATTTTTCACTGTTTAATGTTATTTTTATTTATTAAGATATGTCTTCTAGATTTCCATGGCTGTGGATATGCAAAAAAAGATGAAGACATAATATTCAGGAGTTTAGACAAGTATAGCTACGAATAATAACTTTATTGTAATTATAAAGAATTATTATTTAAGGAATGATGGTAATGTACTTAGAATTAAATACATCTGTATTCTAATATTTGAAGTTATTTCATGTACCGAGTGTTAAAATGCACACTTTTGAAATGAGAGTGTGAATCTTTAGTACAAGTATAAGCATAAGGCACTTATACTTCTGACATTGTTGTGGTACCCGTATGAACAGGTTTAGCCCATTTTTTTTAAGTAATGACACAATGAATATGTTAAAACTGCGCATTAAAGTTCGCGCATCTGTTAATTACGAATAACAAGCATCAAGCATATTATTGCTTTGTTATATGCTGGTTGTAAAATTTTACGTTTTGTTATATTCTGTGGATGAATAATTTAAAAACATAAACGAAACAGGAGCAATATGAAAAAACAATTATTTAACGACATCATTGTGGAAAATAATAACGGTGAGTCGTAATAAGCAATCACAGCCGGCTTAATTGTATTCTGGGGCGTTAATTTTTCTAGATGAATGTAAAGTTTTAACTATCCTGTTAAAAATAATAGGTTTCTCCGTTATTTGAAATTAATTAAGATAGAAAGTTTATGTTCTTGAGATTATTGTAGCCTTTATAAAAGAAGGTTTGGTCCAGCGGTTTAGATGAAGTGATGATTTTCGCCAACATGAAATTTATCTTCTGCTTTGTGTACACTGCCTTAGTGGCAACTCTGTTGGTAAGTACTTAGATGCTTTACAAAAAAAAAATATCAATATATTTAAGTGGGGAACAGAAATTCTTTAGAAATTTTGTAGAAGTTTCAAGTATAAAAGGGTCAAATTAAATTCTTCAAACAGAGTAGTGGAGTTTGTGTAAAATTAATTGTTTCATTTAGTATATAGTTCTATAGTCCCTAGAAATATATAGTAGTGGAGCAAGGTTAGTTAATAGAGAATAGAGAATATCTATTAAATGACTTTGGTAGTGGAGCAAATGCAGTTGGTAACGCAAAAAATTCCCCTGGTTTGGAACCAAATTGTGTCAGCAGAGAGTTGACAGCTGACAGTGCGTAAACCGTTGTTGTCACGTGGCCTTGGCGTGGTCTTTTTGTTTAAAGTCAATTAATTTTCAATTAATATAACTAATAATTATTAAATAAGATTTTATTGATTAAATTTTATATTTTATTCAAATTAAAACTCCATATTTTGTATATAAACTACAAACTTTAAATCCAACATAAAAGCATTTTTAATTTCGCGGTCTGCCAAACGGTATTTATAATTTTTGTTTTTGTTAAGTTTCCGCCAGGTTTGCTCCACGGTGGCCATACTATGTGTTTTCTACGGGCTATAAGTAAAACGTTAGTTAACACAGAATTGTAGAAATTTTACTTTTGGTAGTTTGTAATCTTGATAATGATATACATACATATTTTCTAGATTTCCACGGCAAATGCTTGCCGTCCCTGTAACAAATGTGTGGGGGGTGAAGGGAAAGCACGGATTTAGAAATTCAGACCATCACTACTACGAGTAATAAATGTATTATCATTCAATAAAGGACATATGCAATGATATGTGTATGTACAAAAAGTTAAAACTGAGTTATTTTGCTTTACCACAATTGATTTCTACAAAAATAAATAGTTATTTATATATCAAGGGAGCAAAGTAACCTGAATCCGCGGGAGGAAATGGCACTTTGCTCAAGTGATATACATATATATATATATATATATATATAATTTTTTCTTCGAACGAACGTTTAAAAGAATTTGTTCAACTGTGTCAACCTTCTTTTACCAAGCGTTAAGTTAGAGAAGTATCGGAGTATCGCAATATGTACTAATCATTTTATGTTTTCCCGACGTTTCATGCCTCCTGCAGCGAAGGACTGGTCTAATTAGACAGATCATTTACGAAACTCCTGCACTGATTTCTATGCAATTTTGGATAAAAAAAAAATTGACAATACTTTTCTGTTACTGTGAATATTCGTGCTTTTTTATTAATTTAATATTGCCAGGAGAAACACGCCAGAAAAATTTAAAAATGTAGTTAATTTTAAAAATAAAAAGTTATTGCTCAAAGTGTTTATTTTGTCTTTTTTTAGTTTTTTTTTCACCCTCAACTGGCCTATTTTAGGGGCTTTTTTAAATTTTTTGCACTCCAAAATGCGATGACGTAATAGTTTATAAATCGGTTTTTTCCCAGAAATAGCACATACCTACGTGTATTACTCACATTTGATTTTATTTGAAAGTTAAATCTACGATACAGTAATATTTGTTATGCCAACAGCCATTAGGCCCAGTTCATTAATTATATATTTTTTAAAGAGTAAAATTTGGAAAAAAAAGAAATAAAAAAAAAAAATATTTGAAAGTTTAAGTGTAAGATGTATGGGTAAAACGACAACTTTGCATTATAATGTTTGTCGGATATTTACATATTCTGAAGTTTTCATTCAAATGAAGCGATAAAAGCAAAATTCATATAGATATATTTAATGTTAATGGTGAGTAGCCACAAGGTTATGAGTTATCACGATCCCAGCACCTATATAAGGAGCTTTGGCATAGCTATTTTTCAAAAAGTGTTGATCTCTGTCAAATTGAAAACCATCGTTATTGTTTACGCAGCGCTGGTGGCAAGCCTGTTGGTAAGTAATTTTAAAACACACATTATAGAAAAAAATATACACCATTTTTTCAACACGAATTTGTTTAAAATTTTTAAAATTAATATTTTGATGACAAAATTTGTTAGTGTAAGAACTGTTGCAAAATAGAGCCTCATGGTGGACTAATTATGTGAGGGCACTATTTATTTTTGACTGTTTATTGTTACTGTGTTAATAGTTTCATTTATATCTTCTACATTTCCACGGCTATGGCTTCACAAGATAAGAAATATTCAGGAATTTAGACGAGTACAACTACGAATAATAACTTTATTGTAATTATAAAGAATTATTATTATGTACTTAAAAATAAATACGTCCTTATTCTGATATTTGTAGTTATTTCATGTAACGAGTGTTAAAATGCATACTCTTGAAATACGAGAGTGAATTTTAATTATAAAAGCCACTTATACTTCTAACATTGTTGTGGTACCCCCAGACATTGATTAAATACATATAAATGTATATGTATTTAATCAATGCCCCAGAGAATATGTTTACTACGCATTAAAGTTCGCGCATCTATTAATTACAAATAACAAGCATTAAGCAGATTTTTGCTCTGTTATATGCTGGTTGTAAAATTTTTCGTTTTGTTATATTCTACGGAAGAATAATTTAAAAACATAAACGAAGCAGGAACAATATAAAAAACAATTATTTGACCGTGTGATTATGGCAAATAATGACGCTGAGTCATTTTGAGCAATCACCGCCACATTAATTTTATTCTGGAGAGTTAATATGTCTAAATGAATGTAAAATTGTAACTACCCTGTTAAAAATAATAGATTTGTCAGTTATTTGGAATTAAGTAAGATATAAAATTTATGTTCTTGAGTTACTGTGGCCTTGATAAAAGAAGGTTTTGATGTGATTTTCGCCAACATGAAGTTTATCTTCTACATTGTGTACCTACTACCTACACTACATTAGTGGCAACTCTGTTGGTAAGTACTTAGATGCTTTACAAAAAAAATCAATATACATATTTACGTGTCCTAAAGAGAATGGTTTCAAACATTAGTTGGCAATAATTCATGGATTTTCAAAAAACGTCATTTGAAAGTTAAATGTACGCAAATAGAGTATTTAGTATGGAACTGCCATTAAGTGCTCTATCAGTTGCATATTTTTATGGAGTAAAATTTGAAAAAAAAAGAAATAAAAAAAATTGAAAGTTAAAGTGTGATAATAGTTATTTAATCAACTAGTTGGGTAATGACAGCGATTAACGATCGAGCAATTTTAATTACACAAGCGACCGAAGAGAGCGAGTGGAATTCAAAATAGACGAGATCGTTAATCGCCATTACCCTACGTGTTGATTATAATATTTTTTCGACGATCGCAATTTGAATCATATTTTTGACATTTGTTATGCAACCAAACATACTTGAAATGTGTCTCTGTTGAGTTTATTTTATTTAAATTTGTTTCAAAATACATTTTTGATTAAAAAAACACGTGTTGATTCAACTTTCGAATATCGCGTTAATTTAAAAAAACTTTGGAATTGAATTAACAAACTTTATTAGATTGGTATGTAACCAACAATACATTGACATTTCTGTCGACTTTACTTTAATCGTTGAATGAGACTCATTATTGATCAATTTTGAACACCAAATTTGTTCGTAATTTTCACATTAATAAACGATCGTCGGAAAATTCATATATTACATATGTACAACTCTGCAATATAACGTACATTGGACAAAATAGTGTCTCCAAATATACTATTTAACAGAACGCGCTATTTATTTTTGACTATTTATTGTTACTTTGTTAATAGTTTTATTTATTATGATATATTTTCTAGATTTCCCCGGATATGGGTTCGAAAGCCAAGAAAAAGAAATTTTGAGAAATTCAGACGAGTACGAATAATAACTTCATTGTAACGAATTATGATTTGAGGAGTGATGTTCTTCTATTAAATACGTCTTTATTCTGATATTTGTAGTTATTTCATGTACCGAGTCACGAGGATGAATCTTGTCCTTGTGGTACCCGCATAATAAGCTAATCACCCCCACCACTAATTGATGACGTCATTTCAAAGAATTCTATCTTTATTAAAATTTATTGCCCAAAGTGTCTATTTTTTTATATTTGTTTGCATTTCAAAGTTAAATGAACGTTGCATAAACATTTATAATGAAACATCCATTAATCACAGTTTATCAGTTATAAGGAGTAAAATTTTGGAAAAAAGACATAAAAAAACAATAATTTGAAAGTTAAAGTGTGGCAATTAAGTGGTGATTTTCGCTAACATGAAATTTATCTTCTACATTGTCTACACTGCGTCAGTGGCAACTCTGTTGGTAAGTAGATGCTTTAAGTCTCTTTGGTTACTACAATTTAATTGTACTTTGCTGATGATCTAATTTATTGTGATATACTTTCTAGATTTCCACAGCAATTGCTTGCCTCTCAGAGTTGCTCTATCGACCACCAAGGATGCCTCCACATACTTCAGATGAATGGAGATAGAAATTCAGACCATCGCCATCGCTATAGTAAATTTATGGTAATTAAATAAAGAAGATATTAATTTGCAGAATGTTTTTACTTTATCGTAAACCCATATCCTTTCCTTCCAAAATTTTGATTTTACGAATTAAGCCCAAAACAACTTATCTGATTTTCCAAAATTTTGCAAACGTAGAAAACCAAAAAAAAAAAACAATGAAATTTCATATTTAATTTGCTTAAATTACCTACTTTTTTAATAGATTACAGACTTCAAAAAACACAAACAAAGCCATAAAAAGAACAATAATTTGAAGGTGAAAGTGTAAACAACTATTTTGAATTGCGTGTAATCAAGGCCGGCGCACTTTGATTTGAGCTTTGAAGTTTTCTCAATGAATGCAAAAATTTTTATTCCATCATCAACAACACGAGGTATTTCTGTACAATGTGTTAATGTCTGCATCGATACTCCTCATTTCTCAGGTATTTATTTCGAACTCTTTGCGCAAATAAGCTATAATAAAAGTAATATTCATGTAAATATATTTAATGTTTATGTTAAGCGTCCTTAAGGTCACGGGTAGTCACAAGTGCGGTACCTATATAAGGAGGGTTAGCCCAGTCATTTTTTATTAAGTGTTGATTGTCGCCAAAATGAAATTTGTCTTCTGCATTGTTTACACCGCCTTAGCGGCAACTCTGTTGGTAAGTGGAGCTTTTTTAATTTTATCGTACTTAAATTAAGCACCCTTAAGGTTCAGATTTAAGTCTTAAACGAAACTGTAGACTATGTGTAAAACTAACTATTCGAACTTGGAAAGTGTGAGCATGTCAAAATAACGGTCCAGATATTCATTTTATAAACTTGGACCGAAGCTAAGTCGAGGTGTCAAGGCACTTCAAGTATTTCTAGTTCCTTCTAGGTATTTGTTTCGCGGCAGAGGACTCTCGAATGTACTAGATATGACCTTGGACCCGAGTTGATGATCGCTTGAAAATAAGCGAGGTGTAATCTGTCACTATAATTATTTTTTTTTAATTTAAAATTATAATAAAGTAGATGTTGATTCTCATTTGTTGTATGTATTTTCTAGATGTCCACGGCAATGGCTTGCAACCCTGACGATAATGGTTCTTCCGACGACCGAAAAAAATAGACAGAAACTCAGACAAGCGCTGCTACGAATAATAACTAAGTTGTAATAGGTAGTGGAAATATTAATTTGAAAAATGGGTGTAACATGCGCTTAATAAATACGATGTTTATGTTGACCTGTGTTATCACTTATTTAATAAGGTAAAAACCGCCCTAATATATGTAACTACACTCTATTGCATGTAGAAATAAAAAAAGATAATAATAATAATTATTATTATATTTCTTTACATGCAACCACATTACAAACATGGCAGACCTGTCCCATTTTCTTTTAAATAACTTAATTTGACCACATTCTTCATACATTGTATTCGCTTTACCTCAAACCACCACACCTGACCCCTTAACACCTAAACGGTAATAATCCCTAATTACCCAATTAAAAATCACTTTTCCTCGTACTCTTAAACGTAAAAGAACCAATTGATATGAGCACCTCGTCCGTCCGCATTGTACTCATACGTACCACACCGCATGACAATATATAGACGATCCACTTAACTATTTGTCTTGAATGTAAAAAAATAAAACCGAAGTCAGAGTAGGCCACGCTTATATTACAACAAAAGCATTTTTTAATCACTGTTGGTGAAACACGCGTACCGAAATGTTGCTACTGGTGGTACTCCTAGTGAGTGCGGTCCAAGCTACCCCCATGGACTCGTACCTGGAAGCGTACCAAGAGTCCCACGGCACCACCGCCAAAATGGACAGAGAGTACACCGAACCCTACCCTTACCCACCGTCGCAACCCGGGTACCACTACGGACCCCCGAAGTACTCGTACGGACCACCGGCAGCACCCGTGCATAAGTACCATTTTGACTCCAAACGAGAAAAGCGTTCCAAGTGAGTGTTTCAGTTACGGTCCGCCCTTAGCACCGGTGTATGGACCCCCAGCACCAGCACCCATCTACGGGATGCCACACGGAATGCTAGGACTCCTCGACAAGCTCAAGCTCAAACTCGACCTCTTCACCATTGGTAAAATTTTGTTGAAGGTCGTCTTGTTCAAGAAGTTTGTTAGTTTTGTGGCTGTTTTGTGTCTGTTGCTGTTCATTCCCACTTTGAAGCGCAAAGTGGATAATGCAGTTCCGGATGGAGGGGATGATGATGATGATGAAGATGCTGCGATGAGAGGGTTTGGGAAGAAAAAGAATAAAGGTTTGAGTACTTTTGTTGTAAAATTGGGGTATTCAGGGTTTGTTTTAGCTGGAGATGAGTTTTTGAATAATATCACGGAGTTTGTGATGGGAGCTATTGATAATTTTTCCAAAAATTATACGGGTGAGGCTAAATGTGAGAGTGTTTTTTGTAAGACGAAGAAGGTTGTGCAAGGAATTGATGATAAGCTGAGTTACAGAAAGTAGGTAGGTGGTTGAGGTTGACAGTGGAGTTGAGACACATGTTTTAGGTTGGCTGAAGTGTATTCTAGGGAGATTCAGCCGTAATGTTGCCACTAGGATTAATTTAATCGAATTTATTTATTCTTATTTATTGAAATAAATTATTATAGTGAAAGTGTGTAGTATTTGTTAGTTTTTCCTATTGCTGAGGTACGGCAGGCACAGTAACCGGTGTAATTGTTTTGAGTTTGGCGTCGTGGACCTACGTTATGCTAAATTACAGTATTTGGACCTTGTGTCTGTTTATTAGAAAATGCTGATAAAAATTTTCTTTTAAAACTAGATAAAATCGGAATAAATATTTCGTGAAATTATTCAGTTATGCACAAGGTCGAAATGGTTACATGTTAGCGTCTAAAAATATAAAATTCAGATGCCATACTTACAAGTTTTCAAATCTTTTAATTTATGGGTAAATAACAACTTGTTTTTTATATTTTCCAGAAGATAACCAGGCTTTCTGTTTATATGCAACATTATTGGGATCAGCAAGGTCATTTATATTGCACTATTAAAAGATAATCGACACAAAATATTGTTTGAAAGATACTTCTTTTTAACGGTTGTTTGTTATCACTTCGTAAAAATCTTATTTTTGCAAGGTTTTTTAATTATTCTAATCTGTGTTATTAAAAATTTTATCACTTTATTCTGAGTTCTCGAAAATAGAAAACATCTCTGATATCAATTAAGCAAACAATCAGCACAATTAAGATTGTATTTTTTAAGTAGCAACACTTCGTAACCTCAATCAGTCTACAAAAAAAACCCAGTGTTAAAAACCTTGTTCTTGGTAACTGGGATTTACCCATCATGTATTAGCACTACAATATTATGAGTACAAACATGTAAACGAGATAAGAATTTTAAATAAAAATAATAAATAATTTATCGTTAGCGTCAGTGGCTGCTCGTAAATCAACTTCCCAAAAAACACTATGAACCAAATCAGGGATTCCCACTGGTACACGCTAAGCAACACAATGATAAAATTTTATTCCGAAATACGGTTCTTTCAAAGATCAAAAAATCCAAACATAAACATGTGTGACCCCCGCCCTCGCCGACACTGGCTTGTTTACAAGTCGATTGTTGCCAACAGAGAAAACACTACTATAAAAGCGAAGAACTCCAAGAGTGGTGCAGTCTTTGTCCAACCGTGAAAGTGAAGATCGAGATGAAGAGACTGCTGTTGGTTTTGGCCGTCGTGATTGTGGCACAGGCCCATGTCATTCCCCGGTACCGAAGAAGCACCAGCCATGAATGTGAGTGACCCTTAATTTTCGCCAAACTAAAATTATTTTTTTTAATTTTTCATAGACAAAATGTGCGTCCCGGAGGAACTCCTCGAGCTCTGCCAGCAAATGGCATCCCAAGAAACCAAGAGTACCGCCCGAATAGTCTGCATTCCGGCCCGAGACCGGTACAACTTTCTTCACTCTTTCCTATAACCACTTTTTACCTTTTCGCTTTCCAGTTTCGAGTGCATCGAGAAGATTCAACAGCGGGTTGCCGATTTTGGCACCGTTGACCCTGAGGATATGTACATCGCGGCGAAGACACCCGATCAAGACTTCGCGGTCTTCGAAGAAATCCGTACGAGAGAGGAACCCGAAGGTACGACCGTTTCAAGGTGGACTTGTGGTTAATTATAACTTGTTTGTAGCTGAATTCCGATATGAAGCTGTGGCTGTGATTCACAAAGGTTTGAACATCAACGGAATTGAGGGACTCAAGGGGCTGAATTCGTGCCACACCGGCGTGGGGAGGAACGTCGGGTACAAGATTCCGCTGACGAAACTGAAGCAGAAGGGGATCATCGGTAACTTGAACGAGCCTGAACTGAGTCCGCGCGAAAACGAGTTGAAGGCCTTTTCGACGCTGTTTAACAAGGCTTGCATTGTTGGGAAGTGGTCGGAGGATCCGAAAATTAACCTCAAGTGGAGTGAGTACCGCCGGATTTAAATTGTGTCACATACTAACTCTTTATGTTTCTTATTTAGAAAAGCAGTACTCTAACTTGTGCGCACTATGCGAGCACCCTGACGTTTGCGATTACCCTGACAACTTCTCAGGTTACGACGGTGCTCTGAGGTGTCTAGCCCACAACGGTGGTCAAGTCGCATGGACTAAAGTCATCTACGTCAGAAAATTCTTTGGGGTAGCACCACTGTAGTTGTAATTTTCGTTTGTTCATTGTGTCTTTGTAGCTTCCTGTTGGAGTGACCCCCGCTAAACCCAGCAATGAAAACCCGGAAAATTTCGCGTACTTGTGTCCCGATGGTACTAGAGTACCCGTCACGGGTACTCCTTGTCGATGGGCAGCGCGGCCTTGGCAAGGTTACATGGCAAACGCCGACGTGATTAAAACCGTAGACGAACTTCGACGAAAAATCGAAAATTTGGATACCGTCGGTACCAAAAACCACGCTCCTTGGTTGGAAAAAGTACTCGAACTGAACGAAAAACTCATCCCTAAAGAAAACAAAGTTATACCAGCTGGTGATTACTTGGACAAAGCCAACTACACCGACGTTATCGAAAGAGACTACGGCCCTCCCTACAAAACAGTTCGCGTCTGCGTCACCTCAGACAAAGAACTCGAGAAGTGTGAGGCACTGTCAAAGTCCGCTTTCTCCAGAAATATCAGACCAAGATACGCATGCGTGCAAGAAAAGACTGTCTACGATTGCATGAAAACCATCAGGGATAACGGAGCCGATATCATAACTCTCGACGGTGGACTCGTTGACACAGCTCAAAGAGAGTACAACTTGGTACCGATAGTTGGAGAACAGTATGGGAACCTTGGAGGGTCGTACTACGCGGTTGCTGTAGTGAAAAAGGGCTCCAGCTTTAATTCTATCGCTGATTTGAAGGGCGCCAAGTCTTGTCATACCGGAATAGGTCGTACCGCTGGGTACAACGCACCTTTATACACCCTCATCAAGAAAAATTTGATCGATAAATCCAACTGTCCTTATCCGAAAGCGCTGTCTGAGTTCTTCTCAGAGAGTTGCTTGCCGGGGGTTAAAGACCCAAGACACGGAATTGCCGAAGCTAATTCGGACAAGCTTTGTAAACTATGTGGTGGCGATGTTGACAAACACGATTTGTCGACGAAATGCAACTTCGATTCCAGCGAGTCCTACAGTGGTTACACGGGGGCTTTCAGGTGTTTGGTGCAAGGAGGTGGAGATGTGGCTTTCGTCAAGCACGTCACCGTACCAGGAAATACAGGTACTATCTTTCCATAGTACTAAAATTTTTTTTACAGCTGTGTTTACAGATGGCAAGAACACTGAAAGCTGGGCGGTTAATCTGAAATCGGGAGACTACGAACTGCTTTGTCCTGACGGTGGAAGGAAACCCGTTGATCAGTATCAAAGTTGCAACCTGGCACATGCTCCTCCCCATATGGTAACATAGTGTGTTATTTTTGTAATGGAACTCATGTTTGGTTTGACAGGTGGTAACGAGTCGTTCCAAGAGTGATAGCGAAGTAGATGAAATTCGTAACTTGTTGGTTTCGACAAGTAGTGAGTACACTAGCAGACCGGATCTTTTCAAACTGTTTGGATCATTCAAAGGAAAGAAAGATTTGCTTTTTAAGGATTCTGCCACCGGTTTGATCTCGATTACTGGAGAGAGCGAAATTCAAAAAGAGTATTCAAAAGTAATTGCGGTTGTGAATGGCTGTGCTTAAAATTAGGTTTTAAGATTTAGATAGAGTTGTGTAGTTGCCATATTGTAATTGTACGAAGTTTAATAAACATTCTAAATGTAATACAGTATTTTAGTTTAAGATTCCTCCCTACAGTTACGGTGGTGTATTGAGACTAGAGATCCTATCGTCATAAAATGTAACACCATCCTGGTGAAAGTAATCATCAATCATCAACTAGTTGATTAAAAAATGGGATTAAAATTTGGTCTTGGTTTCTTGCGGCATTTACGTTTCCTGAAAACATCATTTAACTTATTGTTAAAAAACTAAGAAATTTTACCATCATAGAAAGCGGTCCAAAAATTCTGGAGATATTGGAGATAGTCATCCTGATCTAGAGTATTTAGAAACCATTGATAGTATTGCACTCTTCGAGGAAAATGGGAGGAGAGAGACACAAATGAAGATCTTCACAGATGCATTCTCATGGATTTTTAAAAAATAGATTTAAAGTTTGTCGAAACTGTGTATACTCTACGTCAAAATCAAGGAATTCTTCTCGAAACTCTTCCATACATAATCCAATTGAATACTGCCAAATTTCAAAATTGATACGTAAGTGTAGGAAATGCTGTCAAGTCAAACGTTAATGATTTATTAACCATCCATGTCGTAGAGTATATTTGGTTGCCTACTTAGACTTTGAAAATAATAATTCGTATTACTAAATCACTATGTGAGTTGGTGGATGGTTCAACATAATAATTAAAAGAAACAGTATTCAGTGTACAAGGGTCCCCTACATCAATAACGTGATTTAATCTGTCATTGGTTTGTTCGTTGATTCGTATTCAGTCTGTCCAAAAGTCTTTCCTACTGTAGCCAAATTATGCTTCCAACCATAATTATTCCTCGAATATATATGTGGCTAGAAAAATGAATAAAATTATTATTAATTTTATCATTGTATTTTGTGTTGTTAGAAATAAGGCGACAACTGTCAATATTCACAACTTACAGCGAATTTTAACCCAAACATGTAGTTGTGATGGCCGCTGACAAGGCTATGAAATCAGAATTTTGACTTTACATTTATAGTCTTATTTTTTTATCGGTGCCACCATTTTGTGCTTTTTGGACTGGAAAATATCAATTTTTGATAACGATAATTACTGGGTTTCCCAGTTCACACTCAAAACATCTCTGTTATCAAATGACCATACAATCAGCTGAAACAGTTTACATGGAGCATCACTTCGTAACCTCTTTCAATCTACAAAAACTCCAGTGTTAAAAACCTTGTCTTGATAACAGGGATTTACCGCTGATGAGTTAGCACTGCATCATTATGAGTACAAATATGTAAACGAGATAAGAATTTTAAAGCAAAAATATAAATAATTTATTATTAGCGCCAGCGGCTGCTCGTAATTCAAATTCTCAAAAATACCTCTGTGGACCAATTCCGGGATAGGGCTGGTACACGCTATGTAAAAATAAGATAAATTTTATGTAGAATAAGGGAAGGGTGTTTCTGAAACAGTTTTAGTAGATTAGCTTTTAGACTAGACAGGATTTCTGTTAATTTTGTTATTATCTTAAGGAATTCACAAACAGAAATTTATTAAATAAGAAGATAAGATTTTCCAGCTTCTTCATCCGATAATTTACCGACGATATAATTGGCAATATATCTAATAAGTAAATTGATGGTTTCATCCACTGACACCCATATCTGCAAAGCATTTAGTTCATGTCAAATACGGTCAATAGTCTGTAATTGTTTAAATAAAGTAATGTCAACATTACTTACATTTTTGTAACATTGTGGCAAATAATTCTTATGTAAAATTGATTCGTCTGGAATTTTTTTCTGCAATATTAAAAAAAATATATTGGACTTCGTTTTGTAGTTTGTCAAAACGAATATTTGCAACCAAAACAACACTAGTGTATTCACGGTGGCATAAGTCTCCTTTTGTCATAAATAAAATACAAAAAGACCTAGATAAGAAACAATATTAGGTAATATTCATTTTCTCATCTTACCAATTTTTCACAAAGTTTGTAAAAAATCCGTCATCTGATTTAATTTGACACGATTTTTTAAATTGGTATTTTGTCTTGTATATTGTATAGAACTGTTTCTTGTTTAGGCATTTTAAGTACTTAAGTTGTATCTACTTTCGATTCTTTCAAAAACATAAGTTCACTAGCACTTCAACACTCACTGAATGAAATAAATTAATAGGATGGGAAATACACAGAGCGTCTTGACCTGGAAGGTTTTCCAAGAAGTTTGTGTATCTTTATATTACACCAACATCCGCTCGCAGTCTGAGTAACAGAAACATGTTTAAAAATAATTTTAGACATATTTGATGAGTCTACAAATAATCCAGATATTAAGGGCAGCTATGGAATATCTTTTGTTAATTATTATTATTTTTTTAATTAATTTATAATAAATATGTGATCAATTACACAGTTTGTTGCAAATAACTCAGCATAGTTGCAAGGGCACATTTTTTTTTATTCAAAGGCGCGATTGATACCAGAATCAATTATAGATGCGTCGTATTAATTAATTACAGATAAAGAGAGTCTTTAATTGTAAAACGCTACTTACAAATTTTTAAATTAATTTTGAAAAATATTTTATTCACTTAACGGATAATATTAACATGTGTGACCCCCATTCTCTCCGGCACTGGTTGCTTTTGCAAGCCCGATTGTTGCCACCACTAATATAAAAGCCAGGGTTTCCAAGAATAGTGCAGTCTTTGTCCAATCGCGAAAGTGCAGATTGAGATGAAGAAATCGCTGTTGGTTTTAGCCGCCGTGCTTGTGACCCAGGCACATGTCATTCCTCGGTACAGAAGAAACACCAGCCATGAATGTGAGTGAGTTTAATTTTCATCAGATTTTTTTCTAAAATTTTCCTCAGACAAAATGTGCGTCCCGGAGGAACTTCTCGAGCTCTGTCAACAAATGGCGTCCCAAGAAACCAAGAGTACCACCCGAATAGTCTGCATTCCCGCCCGAGACCGGTACAACCCCCTTCACACTTTCATAAAATTCTTTTTACCTTTTCGCTTTCCAGTCTTGAATGCCTCGAGAAGATCCAGCAGCGGGTTGCCGATTTTGGCTACGTCGACCCTGAGGACATATACATAGCGGCGAAGACACCTGAGCAAGATTTCGCGGTCTTCGAAGAAATCCATACGAAAGAGGAACCCGAAGGTACGACCAAATCGAAGTGGGGTTGTGGTCAATCAAAAGTTGTTTGCAGCTGAATTCCGATATGAAGGTGTCGCTGTGATACACAAAGATTTGAACATCAACGGACTTGAGGGACTCAGGGGGTTGAATTCGTGCCATACCGGCGTGGCGAGGATGGTCGGGTACAAGGTTCCGTTGACTAAACTGAGACAGAAGGGGATCATCGGTAAATTGAACGAGCCGGGACTGAGTCCACGCGAAAACGAGCTGAAGGCTTTTTCGACGCTGTTTAACAAGGCTTGCCTTGTTGGGACGTGGTCGGAGGATCCAAAAATTAACCTCAAGTGGAGTAAGTACCGCCGGATTTAATTTGTTTCACATACTAACTCTTTATGTTTTTTATTTAGAAAAGCAGTACTCTAACTTGTGCGCACTGTGCGAGCACCCTGACGTTTGCGATTACCCTGACAACTTCTCAGGTTACGACGGTGCTCTGAGGTGTCTAGCCCACAACGGTGGTCAAGTCGCTTGGACTAAAGTCATCTACGTCAGAAAATTCTTTGGGGTAGTACCACTGTAGTTGTAATTTTCGTTGTTAATTGTGTCTTTGTAGCTTCCCGTTGGAACGACCCCCGCTCAACCTAGTAATGAAAATCCGGACAATTTTGCCTATTTGTGTCCCGATGGTACTAGAGTACCCGTTAAGGGTACCCCTTGTCGATGGGCAGCGCGGCCTTGGCAAGGTTACATGGCAAACGCCGACGTGATTAAAACCGTAGACGAACTTCGACGCAAAATCGAGAATTTGGACACCGTCGGTACTAAAAACCACGCTCCGTGGTTGGAAAAAGTACTCGAAATAACCAACAAACACGTCCCTAAGCCAAACCAAGTCGTACCAGCTGGTGATTACTTGGACAAAGGCAACTTCACCGACATTATCGAAAGAGACTGGGGCCCTCCATTCAGAACAATACGTTTCTGCGTCATCTCGGACGAAGAACTCGAGAAGTGTGAGGCACTATCAAGGTCCGCCTTTTCCCGAGGTCTCAGACCACGATACGCATGTCTGCAGCAAAAGACTGTCTACGATTGCATGAAAAAAATCAAGAATGGCAGAGCCGATATAATCACTCTTGACGGTGGACTCGTAGACGTAGCACAAAGAGAGTACAACTTGGTACCGATAGTTGGAGAACAGTACGGGAACCTTGGCGGGTCGTACTACGCGGTTGCTGTAGTGAAGAAGGGCTCCACTTTTAATTCATTCGCTGATTTGAAGGGCGCGAAATCTTGTCATACCGGAATAGGTCGTACCGCTGGATACAACGCACCCTTGTACACCCTCATCAAGAAAAATTTGATCGATAAATCCAACTGTCCTTACCCGAAAGCGCTGTCTGAGTTCTTCTCAGAGAGTTGCTTGCCGGGGGTGAAACACCCAAAACACGGAATTGACAAAGCTATTTATGGAAAGCTTTGTAAACTATGTGGTGGCGATGTTGACAAACACGATTTGTCGACGAAATGCAACTTCGATTCCAGCGAGTCCTACAGTGGTTACACGGGGGCTTTTAGGTGTTTAGTGCAAGGAGGTGGAGATGTGGCTTTCGTCAAGCACGTCACCGTACCAGGAAATACAGGTACTATCTTTCCATAGTACTAAATTTTTTTTACAGTTGTGTTTACAGATGGTAAGAACACTGAAAACTGGGCCGCTAATCTGAAATCAAAAGACTACGAACTGCTTTGTCCTAATGGTGGAAGGAAACCCGTTGATCAATATGAAAGTTGCCACCTGGCACATGCTCCTCCCCATATGGTAATGTAGTTTGTTATTTTTTGTGATGGAACTGATGTTTGGATTGACAGGTGGTCACAAGCCATTCCAAGAATGAAGGCGAAGTAGATGAAATTCGTAACTTATTGGTTTCGACAAGTAGTCTGTATACTAGTAGACCGGAACTTTTCAAACTCTTTGGTTCGTTCAAAGGCAAGAAGGATTTGCTTTTTAAGGATTCTGCCACCGCTTTGATCTCGATTACTGGAGAGAGTGAAATTCAGAAAGAGTACTCGAAAGTAATTGCGGTTGTAAATGGCTGCCATTGAAACTATATTGTAATCAATACAGTTGTGTAGTTGTCCAGGGGCGGCTTGTCCTATGAGGCAGGTGAGGCAGTGCCTCACCAATGAATTTTACGTCTTATTAGGATTTTTATTATTTTATACGGACACATTTCGGCCAATAATTTGTGTCTTTTTTCTAAAATTTTAAAAATAAATATAGAAAATGATATTCTTATTTTTATCTCGGTAGGTACTCGTTGCTCCCTTAATTAAACAGCGCGCTTAAACACTCGGCACAACATGTATTTTGTGACGCGAATGAGGCAGACTGGAAGCTTGCCTCTACAGCATATATAGAAATCATGTCGTTAATAGGCAAGCAACCTGCAATACACTCATAAGCGGTATGAGTTGAAAAAAGACAAAATTGAGGCTAGCCTCATTTCCGTGCTTGCAAAAGAGATGGACAACAATATTTGCGCGCCTAGAACGTGCGATTACAATGCAGTCTGCATTGGCAGAAATATTCAAAATTAGGCCGTTGATTGTTTTGCCATAAATCTGTGTGTGTATAAATTGATTCAAAATTTCGGTAACAGAATTTTGTCTTAAAAGTGCCTACGTTTGCGTGGGTCGCGTTAGTGCTTTGTGCTTGTCATAATTTGATTTCGGTAATCGTTATTTAAGATTACGAGTAAATCGGAATTTTTCTCTACTAACGTTAAATGACAATGGCAGTTCTGTTTTTTCTACTTTCACGTATGATGATAAATTGTTTGTAGTTAAGGAATTAAAACCGCCGGTTCCTGATTTGAGTAAATCGTTAATTGATCCATAAAAAAATTTAAAATAAATCCGTATTTATATTTTATATTTTTTTCATTTTGTTTTTTGTTATAAATCAAATTAGCTTTATTTTATGTTGTATTTGATCTTTTTCGATATGTTTTCTTTAAAGTTTATTTTAATTTTGTTTTTTGTTAGAAGTTATATTTGTTTTTTCTGACCACGCTTCCCTTTCCTTTTGTCCTGTCATTCTCATCCTTTCCTTGCAAGACCTCCTTACACCTTCACGTTGGTTCTTTGTGGACAGTTAAATGAGTTTACAAATTTCTTTATTTGACTAAATAGAAAATATTTAAGTAATTTTGATTTATTTATATTTTAGAGCGTTTTGTGCTTTGCCTCATCAATTTTTCAAGTCATGAGCCGCCCCTGTAGTTGTCACATTGTAGTTGTTCAAATATCAATAAAGATTCTTAACACAAAACAGTATTTTTTTAATTAGTCTTGTCAAGGACCTTGACAAATAAAACACTGGTTATTGACATCGGTTATATTGCGACACCATAGAAAAATAAATACATTGAGATTTATGCAGTTTTGATATACTTAATAGAAATTCCTAGAAAATTCTATACACAGGGTTCGTTTTAAAAATTCTCACTTGCTCTTACGACAATTTTAAACGTAAAGAAAAAGTACCGACTTTCCAGTCAAAAAAGGAAGTGAGAACTTTCAAAACGAATAGAATGTAATATAAACATACAATAATAAAAAACTCAGTCTTTGAGAAGAATCTTTAACACAACATGCAACTTTAACAAAATTACATTTGTATACATCGTAGACAGTGTAGCAATAACGTGGAACCCTCGCTTGACTTCGTTCCACACTTTTGTTACACTTCGTTCACATATATTCTTAAACGAACAACACTGAACATAGGGATAACTCCTGTCAATAATTTTTATGACTTTCGTAACCTAGTCTTCACACGTCTCACCTACAATATCTTAATTCCCTATGCCTACACACAGCCAAAACCATCTCACAGCCTTTTATACTTTCGGGTGACATTGAAGGGTTTTCCATACGTAGGGTACACCAAACAGAAAATCCACTACAATGCGTTTTAGGTTTCGCTAGTTTCGAAATTCTGGGCGCGGTTTCTCATGGTGTTATTCCGGCTAGTAGATGGTGCACTGGCGTCTTGCGAGCTCCTCTTCCAGAAGAACATGTGCGCTCTGAAGTTGTCCGATAGTATCCCGTAGATGATGGGATTGATTATCGTGTTGAAGTATGCGATGATCAACGCACCCATCAAGTGATATGATCGCATGAAGAAATTCGTGTCTTCATTTGGTCTAGTACCGTCTATGTACAACAACACCAAAACGATGATGATGGGGGTCCACATGACTATCACGAAGATAACGTTCAAGAAGAGCACTCTAATGACTTTGATGTGTCTGTTGACTCTCACTTCCTCTTGTTGGGAGAGGGATCCTTGCCTACCGTTAGAACCGTTAGATGTGGTCACAGAAAGTCTGTAAATGTATGTGTATTACCGAGACTATGTAACAACCAGAACGTACCTTCGAGTCCATGGTACGAATATGTCGGAGATGCTCAGCTCCGACTGGCGCCGTCCTTGACGGTTCTTATTGCCGTTGACACCTCTAGGCTCTACGGAACTGACCATGACGCAAGAAGAGGCCCACGTTCCTCGGGTGGATATCATCTTATTGAATATCCTCTGGTATAGCACCAGTTGGGTCAAAATCGGCAGAACGCATGCGACTATTACTATCGGCATGACGTAGAATGTGGAGAGAGGAATGACTGAGGTTTTTGGAAAGATTAAAGTACATATTTTTGTAGAGGAGTCTATACTGATGGTTTGGAACCATAACAAGATAGGAATGAAGAGGACGGAACTTATCAGCCATAAAACTAGACAGATTTGGACGGTGCGACGCACGGTGATGGTGGAACGATACGGGGGCACCACGATGCACTTGTACCGGTCGATGGCGATGAAGGTGACGGTCCAGAGGAGGACGACCGCAGAGACAAACTGAAACAAGAAGAAAATCGTCGTCAGATTTGTTAAATGTAGCACAGTTAAAGTAGTGTCCTAGCTTAACCCAGCAATAAAAACCCAGAAAATTTAGACTTGTTGTGTTCAGATGGTACCAGAATACCTTACGGGTACTTCTAGTGATGGACAGCGCTGCCTTGGCAAGGTTGAATACCTTACGGGTATTTTTTGTGGATCTTGATTACATGGTGAACCCCGACGTAATTAAAACCGTAGATGAACTTCGATGAAAAATCGAGAACTTGGAAACCGTCGGTACTAAAAACCACGAAAAAGTACTCGAACTAAACAAAAAATTTTTCACTTCACCGACCAGAAAATACCGATAGTACCTCTTCGTTGTTCAGCGAACTAGAGGAAATTCGTAACAGGTTAGTATTCCAGTAGAGTATTCACTGAAGCAGCTCCCTGAGCTCGCAATGGTCCCGCTACATAAACTGTGACAGTTCAATTTAATATTACAACAGAAGCATTTGCTACTCTTATTTGGTAATTCGGTCTCAGAGATAAGGAGTTTATTATATCTCAAGACAAATGCTCGTATTTCCCAGCAGCAGCGACATTATTCATATTATTCTCCCCCACGTTCGCAGCTGAGGAAGCAATGACACCCCAATTTGTCCCAGCAGGTAAACAATAACAGGAAGTAAGAATACGAAAAAGTAACAAAAAGTGATGGACTCGCCCTCATTCCTCTCACTTTCAAAAACAAACACCTGGACAAAGGCGGAAAAGTCGTCCACAGCCCATAAATCTGCAGATCTAAAAAAGTTCCAACGTCCTCACTTTAATTGATCGCGTCTTAATATGGTGCTCACGTTTCATGTCCCATTTGAAAAGTAGTCAACAACTTTACAGTCAACAGATTACGGATCGCATGCAAATTCGTCCAATATAGGTCTGAAGGTGCTCGATAAGGCGCATCGTAATCAGCTGGATTGAAGTCGTTTATTTCGAAGACTTCGATGCCGTGGAGTACGGAAGTTCGTTTAATATTAATGAAATCAATCGATTATTCATTACTGCGTACATTCACTTATGAAATTACCTTAATTCTCTCGATGTGGAGTTATTTAGCCGCTGAAATGAGTTTATTTACGTTATGTGCGCCTCTGGTAGTTGCATGTGTAATAAAGTGTCAATATTTACACTTAGTTCACTATAAAATTACCACTTACAAGGTTGTAGTGGGCTATTTATAACCAGCAGGGTGTTTGAAGCTTATCCGAAAGAGGTTTCCGCTCGTTGCGAAATTATCCCCCCATCGTGCGACTACCACGTGACACATTTTTTTGTATTTTGAAACCTTCACTTTGTTTTGTCTGAAAGTGCATCAGCACATTTATTGTCCGAAAGCTCGACTTAAACACATCTTCGACCTCAAAGGTATTTACGCTTACTCGGCAAATTACACCGGAATGTATATTTTGAAAATTTTTGTATATTTTACCACTTCAATTAAAAAAATGTAAAGAAGTCGTTAACGAACAAAGAAAACAAATGGAAAGAAATCTTGCCAGGTTCAGTCGCATCAACACTTCTGTTATAATAGCGTTTTATAAGTCATTATCAGACAACTAAACGAAACAATGTCTGGAGTAAAGGTCACGTCAGAATAAACTAGCATGTGCCGCTTATTTCGCAGTATGCCAACACTACGTGACACTAAATGTGCCGCCTCTTCAAAATTCTGACTATACTACAAGGCATACGCAGGATAATCGTGCTTACCTGGGTATACGGTACGAGTTTGCAGGCGATGTCGCCCAGTACCCACGACGCAGTGGTCCTTGCATACGCAACGACAGGACTCGAACATATCAGGACTAAATCAGCAGTGGAAAGATTTCCGACGAAGTAGTTCGTAACCGACCTCAAGTCCTTAAATCTGAAAAATGAGCAAATGGTAGCTGACATCTGAATGATTTAAGACGTATTTTAATAAAAACAAGGATATTTTTTTCGGTGGGATCGATTCAAGGGAGCGGAGCAATCTGGATGGGACGTGACACGTGCAATTCATACATCATTGGCTGGATGGAGGCTGGAAATAGGTCGGTAGGTGTAGAAGGGGAGGACATATTGGGATATTATTTTCAGGCCTAGGACTGAGAGTTTTATAGGGTCGGTCGTGCAAAGAGCGAAAACATGATCTTATAGACGCGGAATTCGAACCCGGAATGATATTTTTCTACTTTTTTTTTGTCACTACTGGCGAATTAGCACATCCCCTGAAAATTGTCCGTCCAAACGTACTATCCAGTGCAAATTAGCTCTCTTTACCTAGCTGGACGGCATTTCACGCCTCAGTCCTCAAACACCCCACACCGGATTTTTCCATTAATTAAATTCAGAGTGGATTAATTCGTTCTTTGCGCCTTTAAAAAGCGCCAACACAAATTTATTAATGAAGTCGAAGGGAATTTCCTCGCGATCCGTCTCTGTCTTTGACACACATTTGCCCTTGTTATATTTTTCCTACGGGGGATAGATAAATTGATTGTGAAGAGTGCAACGACGTGTCTTGAAACCCCCAATGGGAAAAAACAAATCAATAACGTGACAAGACCTACTTGATTTTGATGTATTGTTGTCGGATCGATCTCTACCCAAGTTGAACCACCAATTAATTGCAGACGTTCTATTTTTAGACGGCTCGTTGTTTTTCCCTCAAATATCTCCGTTTCATTCACAACAAAAGATATTTTTGGAGCGGAAAAGAAAACGGAGGAGCGGAAGCGGCGAACGTGCAAGGAGAAGGATTAGGGTTGGGGCGCACAGAAAGGGGTGTCAGCGACTTTAAGGTGGTTGTGCCACTGAAATGAAATTAGGGCATATTTGGGCCCAAGATGTACATCACCTACATGATTTCAACGACTTACAACTGTTACCTGCTTCATTTTTATTTTTCGACCTATTGTAACAGCATAAACTTAGATAATGGCCATTTTCATGTTTTCTCCAAATTTAATAACCCTTGAGTATGAAAGAATAGGTCTTCCGTTTCCGTCTGTTTTTGTGCATTTTTTTTACATAATTTTTATGCATTCTCAGCAAGAATTTGATGACGTCATCTTAGAATTTTGCGAGGTAAATCTTTTTTGGATTTTATGAAGTAATCGTTAATTCTGTAGAAATGATTTGTTATTTTCTTCCAATTTTTTACTATAGCTGAAAAAATGATACGGAATTTTGTTTTTGAAGGAATTTGCTGTTTTGTTTTAAAAATAATTTGAAGTAACGTTTTACTGTTTTCATTTAAATTTAAAAAGAATATCTAGAATGCGAGCACTTTTAATTAATATTAAAGATGTAGACATCGGCTTCACTGAGAAACCAAAGTATCAATAAAAAATATAAGTAGGTAAGTCATAAAAATGTTTGTGTCTCAAAATAACCTTAAAAGAATTTTAAAGAATCATGAAGTTTTCGGGTGTTTCATTCTTGGAAGAATTTGGAAAAATCTTGAAACACTATGTGTTTACTTTTTGGAAAAAATTTAAACAATCCTGAGGGATTTTGATGTTTGTTTTGGAAAATGTGAAAAAAATCTTGGATATTGTAATTTTGAAAGAATTTGGAAGAATCTTAAGAGACCCAGCTATTTTTTTATATAAGAATTGGGAAGAGTTTGAAAAAATCTTCCGATACCTTGCTGTTTTGCTAATGGAGAAAAAGTTTAAAACTCTTTTTGTCTGATTTGTTTTGTCAATCACCAGTGAATATAAAAATTTATCGAAAGATAAATCGCCTACAGTTCTCGCTGAAGTAGTTCAAAGGTCATCCGTAACCACAATAAGTGTTAGCCAGGCAAAATCCGTCAAGTGTCCACGCTTAAAGCCCTTACGCCCTTAAACGCAAGGTCCATTTTTATTCGGCGCCCGCGGGGGTGGGCTGTTCATAATTTCGCTTTCTCCCTCCATGCGACATTTGGCAACGAGGTCAAGGAACAAATTGTGCGATTTTTCACGCAATAAACAGGATCTTCCTTTGATTAATGTCGAGGAAGTGACCCAGACTTTCGCCCTAAAAATAGATCGATTAAAAACGCGAAGAGCGCGATTATTTATTATGATTCGAATCGGAAAATTTAAATTTTCCGAGCAGTTTAACCCCAACTACCGGCTGTACTGACCCGAATAAAAATGCTCTGCCCCCATTCTCGCAATTAACGTTGCGAATAATCATTTACACATTATTATTATGATTGCTGGAACTTCTCTGTTCTTCGTTTTTTCGGAGATTATGGAATTATTTTTGTAGCGGCTGGCCTACTTTTATGCTAAATAATCCGGAAAGTTGATGAAAATGTGCAAACTGTTTAGAATTTTTAATTTAGGGCTTGGGGCTCGTAGTGGTTTTTATTTTAATCGCGAAATGGGTTGGTAGGGCGAACGCGTGCGGTGTTTGGGACGGTGTTTATTATCGCAGAAAAAGATTAACATAATCTGGGAATTTTATTCATAGGATTTGTTTTTGTACATCTATTTTAAACTGCGAGATATTTTTTCATTTAGATGAGTTGGGATGGATTTATTGTAGTTAGGAAAATGGGGCTCCAGAACAATAAACGGAAAGTGGTGACTCTTTGTTACGCCGATTTATAAAGAACAGTCGTAGAATACTGAGAAGTCGAATTTTCAAAGCCAAAATTTGCTAAGCGAGCAACACGTCCTGACGCAAACAATTCATTCAGAAAATTGAGTTTAATAATTACTGCGATATCTTTAGCCTTTTGATAATTGCAAATACACACTTCGGCGCTTTTCGCTTTATTGCCTTGGAGCTAAAGGCTTAGGACCGGCCCTTGGGGGAACGTCGAAAGTGAGTTAAGCCTTCCCCTGTACACTCAAAGGTGAATATCCTCTTATTTCCGTAATCCACCCACTCCTCGCAAAACTAATTTAAATAACAATCTCCAAAATACGAATACTTTTTCCATTAGCATGCTTCGCACACGTACTTAATTAATTTTCAAAACTCGCAAATAATCGTAATAAATAATAAAACATCCCTGTGATCTTTGACGCGGATTTGTACTGTAGCCAGACATCAAAGGGATAAAGCAAACGAGAACGAAATGCTTTTATTCTAGTTTGGCACTTATAATTTAAACATGGCGTTTCCGAGCCTTTGAACGAAAAACGAAAAAATGACTATTCTGAGGCAACGATTTTCAGTAACAATCCCGACGTGCCGCTAACTCCCTTCTTGATCCAGCGTGTAAATCTTCATCCCTGCTCTGCTTTTTACAAGCCGACAATTAATTAACTGTCTATTAAGCATCCAACGGAGTGAAACCGGCGCTTTGAGTTTGGCAAATGAGTTAATATGGTCGAGATGTTTATAATTAAAAATGAATATTGCACTCGGTGCAGGGGGAGCAATGAACTCGGCTCACCTAGGGCAAGAACGCGATAAACCACCCTTTATTGGTGCAATACCGACATACGACATTCGCTTACCTGACCACAAGGTTAAATATCCGGAATGTGTGCGCTGGATTAAAGTTGGCTTTAGAAGAACTTGAGGTTGGTTTTGTTTTAGTGGAAGCGCAAAATTTAAAAAGTTCGGGCTTATCGTTGGTGGATTGTGATGATAATCCTAATATTAAGTCGGTGGCGAGTTCATGTAATCCCGACTTGAGGGCGTCTACAATGTTTGTCGGTATTTTGTGAGAAAAAAGGATAAAACGGAAAAAGCATATTTTCTATTAAAAAGATAAATAAATGAAAATAAGATCCACTTATCAAATTTTTTAGGTGATGTCATCAACATTTGACAACTTCTTAACAAGTCTTAATTATAGAGCAATTCTTTTACATTGTTGCCAAAATGTTACAGAAGATTTCAACATTTTTTCTTTTTTTGTAGAAGTTTTCAAAAACCAAACCTGGGAAGCCTCAAGAGAAACACCACATTTTTTCTAAATCAAAATTCCCAAAGATTCTTTCAACCGTTGAAAGTTTATCATTATCACTTATTACAAAGTATTTCATTGATTCCACGTTCTAAGACTTTTTGAAAATGTTTTCAAAAAGTAAGGACAAGGTGTTCGAAGCGTTTTCAAATTCTTTCAAAAACAAAACACTCGGAAACTTTAACATTTTTTAAAGGTTATTTTGAGACACAAACATTTTAAGACACCCATTTTTTGTCCATCCTTTAGCTTCTCAGTGACATTGACGACTATATTTTTAATAGGGACTGAGTGTGCTCGCTACGCTCGCAGTCTAGATGTACTTTCTTAAGTTTAAATGAAAACAGTAAAATCTCCAAGGTTTCTTCAAATTCTTTTTAAAACAAAACTTCAAATTCTTTCGAAAACAAAATTCCCCATAATTTTTTCAACCCTAGTTTTAAAAATTAGAAGAAAGTAATAAATCATAAAAAAAAATTCTGACATGATATCATCAAACAGTCGCTGAGAATGCATAACAAATTATGTAAAAAAATGCAGACTTTGCATAAAAATAAACTGAAACGGGAGACTTATTTTTTTAGGGGTTATAAAATTTGGAGAAAACAAGAAATTAGCTGACCCTGTTACAATAAGTCGAATAGTAAAAATGAAGCACGTATTAATTTTTCCGATACAAAAATCACAATTATTGTTGCTGTTATAACGTTATTTTAACAGAAATATTAAAAAAATGGGCCAACAACGTAAAATAGTATATTATTAGCCCAGGTTGCAAAGCCAAGCATTCTGGACCGAGCGCAGATTAGAACCCGAGACGCGCAGCGTCGAGGGCTTTGAAGCGCGAGGTCTAGAAGGGGTTTACAACCGTGGTTAATATACTATTTTTTTCACTAGTAGAAACCATAAGACAATAAACTGAAAAAATAAACGTTAAATTTTTTGACGCAACATGATTTTGTTTTGATTTCTAATCAAACTTAATCTAAATCTTCAACACAAAGAAAACCGTTTACACTTGTCGCTGAATTAATCATTTTATCTTCTACCGTCTACCAACTACCATGCGTATACTCAAGTAATGTTAGTAGCACACATTTATTCATTTTTTAGGAAATAATCACATCAAGTATTGCGTACATAACCTCAATCTTCTTTTTGAACCCGTGGTCGCAAAAGTTGAATTTGCTACCTCTAAATGAGTCGACATTTGCATGCTTCATGGCTGCTAGTGAAAAAGTCATGACTAGTACGTGCCTTTAAATAAACTCAAAAAACTAGAATTAGAAACATTCAGAAATAAACGCACCATTCATACAAAGCACTAAAAATAATGAAAAGGAAATGAGTGGGTTGTTACCTTTGTGGAATAAATATACAGAATTACAATGTAACAATATGAGAAAATCTAATTGCACTTTGTGAAAGTTGTTTATTAAACACTAGGAATTTAGTAAACATTTTTCGTAAATAAAGTTTTATTGATTGAGCTATTCCCAAAATTTAATATTGGTAACATTTAATAAGTTAAAAATGATTATTGGTGATTATTTTGTGCTTTTCCAAATGGGACCGCAGTTTTTCAAGTAAAACGAAAATAACCATTTTAACAATTCATCAGGCGGCAGCAGACATTCTCATTTCAGGAGAAGAATAATGGCACAGAATTTAAAAACGACAGAATAATTTGTGTAGCTAGAACAAATAAATCACGTACTGCGTCGATTTTCTAACATACGTCTGCCTATAATTTATCATTTATTTTATCTTTAGCGGAGCCACAGGGGAGGCTTCGAAAGATTTAGAGGCTGAAAGGTTATCTCCATAACTAAAAATAAATGGGCTTTGTTATCCAGATTCTAATTAATATACTGTTGAACACGTTCTTTTATCTATTAATTGCTAATAATTATTTCTTCGGAGATTTGTTGACATATAAGTAGATCAAATACGAACATTTGCTAGTTTCCAATTATGGTATATTCTATTATAGTCTCTTTCGCATTTTAATAATACAGCTGTACAGTGCTTTCACCCCGAAAAAACTGTACAGCTCGTGTGGTCACTTTGTAAATTTCCAAGTAAAAAACGAAAGCTCCTCTAATTAAATTTCCATGTGAGAGCTTGCACGAGCTGCCAGCATCAGCAGCACTATTTCCCTCTCCACGAGATCAACGACCTCTTGTTACCTAGACCATTTTGAGCCCCGGAGATCCTTTGATGCAACAATCAATAGCGTACTTTTCGCGGGTAATTGTTCCCAGGATCTAGCATTGTTGTTTACCCGGCGCATCCACCATACCTGAAAATGCTGGCCAGCACGGAAGCGTTCCCGACGATTCCTATGACGAATAGCGAGAGGAGTAGGGCCAGCTCCAGAGATAGAGACTTATCATCACGACCATTAAGCTGAGTAAAATAAGTGAAGAAATAGCGATCGCCCCACATGCTCGCATTGTCCTTGACGTTGACGTAGGAGGAGTTCCAGGAGTCCGGTTCTTCCATAGGCGATAAATTCCACCGGAGAAGATCTAACACAGCGACCATATCTGGAATGAGAGATATGAGGTTGTTTATGATGCGGCATATGGAAGGCTATCGACAACAACAATTCGTTTCAATTAAGCTAATCAGGATGGGTTCGTTGTAATCGGGTTTATTGGGAGTGATGGGATGGCGTGGATGGTGGAGATGATTGTAGATTAATTCTGGCTTTTTTATCGCTGCGGCGACAGTTTGAACCTGCTGAATATTCAGCAACATAGCGCAAATCAAATCGGGTTATCTTATCAAAGGAACTGGTTGAAGTAGGTGTGTGTGAACGAGGTGGCGCGATTAAAAGGAACTAAGTAGCCACTGTTTATAAAGCGGATTCTAATTTTAGTGGAGGAGGATACGTATTGGAATGTTTTTTACTTCTGGAGCTTAAGCAGGGTTTCCGTCTGTCTGTCGTCTGTCTGTCAGTTGGCGATCTTATTAGACAAACAAATCCTGAAACTATTGGACTGGTTGTTATGAACTTTTAGATCTAATTTAAGAATGTCGTGTAATTAAAATTTGTCTCAGCTCCCCCCACATACAGATTGCTAATTAGAACTCATTTGGTCATACCCTCCAAAAACCGATGACGTCACTTCAAAAGTTATAGTTGTTAAATTATTTGGGTTTTAGTGATGTTTCTGTTTTATAACTCCTCTTTAAAATAATTATAAATTAGGACGAAATTTTAATAACAATTTCTGGTCAAATAAATTTGTTTTAGAAGTAATCCTAACGTGCATAGGAAACTTAGTAGGTAATGAAAACGGATTATAGAGTCGCAAGTTACTTGAACAGTCTGATCATGTTGGTCAAACTAGCTTAATATGGTAAAGACTGTTATGAAGAAATAAACTGATTAATGACGAATGTGGAAACTTGACAAATTATCAAAAGTTGCTATAATGTTTAAGTATATAAAAATATCTCTTGAAACTAAGACCTGTCAATCTGAATTTCAATGAATACCAAAAACTTCCAAAATGTACAAATATAAACTTAATAAATTCTACCATGCTGCCTACAAGAACGTAAAAATAAAGAATAAGCTACTTAAAAAAAAATAAGAAAGTAACATCAGAAACAACGTATTATTATACTGATTACAAGCGCTGCAAGTGGAATAATTTAAAATGTGTTTACTTAGTATATAATTTGTTGCAAGTTCTTCATTGTGCAAAGTCGGGCCTTTAATGAAACATCTCTCGAGACCTATAGTAGCTCTTACACCACTTATACATTCCACAAACGAGCAAGCTTCAATTATGAGTAGTGCAGCCAAGATTCTGTCTAACCCTTTGTACATTATCAGATAAGTGGTTTACTGAAAATTACGACTCCAACCGAACAGAAGCGTCGTATCGTGCACAAGTGCACTTACATAATTTTGAAGCACAATATCTGCCCTTCTTTTCATTAAAACCAGTAATTTCGTAGATCGCGTGTTTAATAAAATCACTAACAGACAGTCAAACGGAAGACAGATGACAGATACGCGGAAACGGGAAACTGACATTCTCGCATTGTACAAACCTCTGGGGAAGTAAAAATTAACTATCCAGGCAGCCAGTAATAATATTTACGGCGTTGCCTCTGGCATGTGTATCATTATTTACTCAATCTGCAGTTTACCTGTCGACAAGCCATGAGTATATTCAACCTAGATAAGTCAAAATAAAGGTGAAAAAATTGAAAAATGAGTTTTAATCGAGTAGTCGTGCGAGCGGAGAAAATTGAAAAAAAAACCCATTCTGTATATGAAGACGTCAAATTTTATTACCCATGACTATGACATCCTGTACGAAGTGGTGCAAATATTTACTCCTCGTCAGAGAGCGTGGTGGTTAGAAATAGCAAACGCGAATGCGTCATCATTGTTTCAATTACAAGCTAATAACTCCACTCCTCAAGATAGATCTCCGCGTTTTAGCTTCATCAATCACCAAACCACTAATTCCGCTTGTCTTGCTCGAAATAAATAAAAATTAATCAAAGTTTTAAACGAGGAGAGTTCGAAAACTGCCCCACTCTAATAATCGTAAACTGAGGTAGAACAATAAGGAAGGCGAATAAAAATCAGGCGAGTTTTTATTTCTTAAGGGGATTAAACTGAACGCCCTCGCAATGATAATTTCAAGGTTTCACTTTAATATCCACAATTCTCTTTTATTTTCGAGCGGTTGTTAAAATCGATGGTTATGGGTAGCTGGTTTACTTTTGTGTGGTTTTTACTTTTTATTACCCAAGCTGTTAAACGCACTCGCACAGGTGAGTTTCGTTTTGGTTTTATAGCTCGGGGTATTTTAGGAATGACGAAAGGATGAGGTCGATGAGAGAGCCTCTGTAAAAATGAATAATCGTTAGTAGTTTTCGCAGCGGGGTTTGAAGTGATTTCATTCGTTTCATAAACTGTTTACTGGAGAGAAGTTTCAAAGTTGTCGAATTATTGAATTTTTTGCTGGTTTGTTTTGAATAATGAACACGAATGTCCTTAATAGGAAGAAAAAATAATGTGGTAAATACATAAATAGTTAAAACAATGTATAATTAAATTTACATTAAAATAGGTAGTAATAGAGTGAGTATGACACTTTTTGAGTTATAAAAACATTCTAACCTATAATTGTTACCAATTACCGTCTAAAAACCCAAAAACGGGTCATCTTTCACTAATTTCCTCTTCAAATTTGAATTTAAAGCTGCAACATCAATTATTATTTAAAACATCCACGAACTTGAACCATACCTTTGAAGAATTGTTAAAATTTAGTTGAAGACCCTTTTTAAAATGGAATCACGAATGAATTAGATATGAAAAGAATGAATAAGTTGTAGAATATTGTTCCTACTCATGTTGAAGTCGCTTTTAAACCGAAAAATTTTCTAGTTCCTTTATGTTTTGCCTTTTTTTTCTAATATATGCAATCATCTGTTCACAACAAAAATTTAAAACATGTTCAAAATGGTAATTTTTGTAGGAAAATATGGATTTTGCAGTGAAGCTTCACTTCTCGGTATGACAACGAATGAAGCATTCATCACTTGATTAAACCCCACCCATACCTCCCCGACCTCAACAATGATCAAGTTTTCATTCGTTGTCAAACCGAGAGGCGGAACGTAATTACAAAATCCATATATTCCCACAAAAGTTTACCATTTTAAACATGTTTTAAGTTGCTTGTTGTAAAATGATTACTACGTATTAAAGAAAAAGCAAAATATAAGCCCCGCCCACCCACCCTGTCTAAATTGTGATGATTTTTATATTCGTCGTGAGCCAAGAGGGCTCAGATTAATTGCAAAATCCTTATTTTTTTATTATTATTCTTTGAACGACACGATACTCAAAAACATTTCTTCTAAGATTTAGAGAAGATAGAGTTTTTGGTTATATAAACTTTTTGGACATTCTAGCTACAGTAGGCTCTGTAAACTCTTTAGACCCTACACGATTTGAGTTCTCTACATTCTCTGAGCTATCTATGGTTTCTGATCCTATGTTCTCTATGCTCTGGAAACCCTTTAAACTCAGTACTCTAAATTCTTTTTAGATTTTCAAATTTCTAAATTGTCTCGACCTTCTAGATTTTCTCTAAGATCTCTAGAATCTAGAGTTACCAGATTTTCTGGGTTCTCCAACTTACTGTCAACTCTTCAAAATCTTTCGACTCTGAGTGATTTAAATTTTCTAGATACTTTAGATTCTCCCTGCTTTGGAAATCCTCCAAACTCCGTAGATTTTCTAAAGTCTTCATTTTTCTAAGATTTCTAGAATCTAGACTTTTTAGTTTTATAGATTTTTTACAGTTGGCTCTCTACCTCTTTAGACCCTACACGATTTAAGTTCTCTACATTCTCTAAGCTGTTTATAGCTTCTAGATTCTCTATATTCTCTATGCTGTGAAGACCCTCTAAACTCCGTACTCTGAATTCTCTTTAGATTTTGAAATCCGTAAATTGTTCGTTGATCCTCTAGATTATCTAAAGTCCCCATTTTCTCTGAGATATCTAGAATCATCATCTTTTAAAAAAAATCTCCGATATGATGTTCATTACTTGGAGGATAAGTTACTGAATTAGTTAGTTAAGCACTTGAAAAAGTCACAGAAGTCTCTAGATTACTACAACTTCTCTAGGAATGAGTTAGGTAGGTAGGTGTTTGTGTAAAGTAAACATTTTTCAACTTAACGGGCAATTTGTCCAGCAACATGAATCGTATGAGAGTATTAAAGCAACATTTAAAAGTAGAAAGACACCATTTTCTAGTCAAAGAATTCTTTATTTCTCATTTTCTTCTTAATTAAGAAGGGTATCTTATAAAGCTCAAAATCATTAAAAATGCAGGTGCAACGGTTTCGATTTAGGTAAAATAATTAAAACTATTATTAAGTTGAAATTAAAAAAAAAGACTCCTAAAGGTTGTTTATTGCAGGATTTAACATCAAAATTGTAAAAAATTGGTCTAAAGAGTTTAGACAGTACTTCCCTCGCTGTCGGAAACTTGACGACTGCATGCCTATTGTGTTTTTTTTTTCTCATTACATTTTTGTAGTGGGAATTTAAAAAAAAATTGTGATGACGTCATCAACATTTTTGCAAGGACACGTATATCAGTTGGGATAGATGTAGTGTAATACTAAGAATAAAATTATTGTATTCCCAAATTTTCTGGAAAATGAATCGGGTCGTTTTGAATATTGATTTCTTATAATCAATAAAATAACGAAACAATTTACTCACGTATATGGCGCCGGTGTGTAATATCTAGAGAGCGGATTTCTGTCGGGCTAGGCAAGGCCAAACTCGGTACGGCTCGTACGGGATGCGAATTCATTGCGGTTGCGGACTGCACTTCGTTTATTTGAGATTAGAATAACGCTGTTTCGTTGCACTCTGCTGTTAATTCCCGTTCTCATTTACTTAGCCGTTTGATTAATAAATCGTTAATTATATTTATGGAATTAGTACCGATTAAATTCAGTGATTATCTATCACCCGGCGATCCAGC